TTCCGATGACGAATTCCCAATGAGGCATCATCATCATCATTGATGTTTGGCTAGAGTTCACACAGAAAACACTAGTTATATTGAATTTATCCATCTTTGTAGACCGATATAGCTTAAAGAATAAAAATAATTCTCATTCAGTAATTTGATGATCGCCCAGAGCAATTTCAGTTCTTCGCCAGGTATTCAAAAATGAACTGCAGATTGAGAAAGTCAGCATTCCCCGTATTTTTCAAATTCCAACCGAAATGTATGAATAAAAATTAAGAACCGATGCTGCTTTGCGAATAAGATGAAAAAACCGAATTGGAGAGAAAATTAAAAAAGGAAATAATTAATTGAAGGTACAGTACACGGGTTATTTCACAACCTTTCGACCAAGGACATAATGAACTACTGTATGTTCCTGAACTAATGCTCATGCACATAAATGAGGACCACCGGAGAGAATGGAACTTGAGATGACTCATTAGTGGAAATCAATAGGAAAGAAAAATTGTTTTTACACTGCCAGTGACATCTACTTGCACAAGTACATTCAAACCCCCCCCCCCCCAAAAATAGTGCCACATAAAAAGCATTTTCCTGTATGAAAAAGGGGTCAAAATCAAACAAATCAAGTCCTTTCTCTAGGTACATCATTGTAACTATTGAGAATCACATACCCATGCTCACACAAAAACTCGGACATTTTGAAAATTCCTGTGGTTGAAAAAAATTTTTTCAGTTGCATGACAGTTTCCTTCATGAAAAATGTAAAAAATGAAGCGGGAGTTACCTGGAAACTTAGTTGATTTCTGCATGATTGCACCGGATATAATACTCAACTCAAGAAACAGCTCCGCTCTTTTACTTGACAAAATATAAGCAAAATTCTAAAATATTCTGTCTTATTAAATGAAGTAATGTATAGCAGAAAGGCAGTACACTTGAGCTTTAAAATTATTTCTTGCCACTTTTGCTTTTATAAAACAAACTTAGCAGCCTAACAATTCTGCAATTAAGCTTTTTTCACCTGAAAACCCTCAACAGAACTTCTCTCATACAAAACCCTTTATTCAGTGCCACAAAGTGTGCCAGGGAAATGATTGGCACTAAATTGAGGCTTGACTTCTATTTGACATCCCCAACGCTATTGACCTCAAAGAAAATGCATACATCCAAGATTTCAGAATAGAAAATGTTACAAGAAGATTTCCAAAAATCCGACCAAGAAAAGCAAAAACACTACACCTCTCGATGATGTCGGGCAAACGCATATTGCACTGGTGTCTGCTCCAAATTATTCTCCTTCATGCACTGTTTATCTGGTTCCGAGATTCCCATACTTTCCGGGCACCTTCGATTCATAGAATTTCTCTTGACAGGTGTCGGCGGCACTCGGCAAACCACAACCTTTCCTCTGGAAGACAAATCCAACACGGCCTGTGACATCGGGATCATTTCATCCACATCCATTGGGTTTTGAACGTCGGGAATACACAATGTTCGACGCCTCACGGACAAGTCAAGAACGACTTGAGAAATCGCCTTGTTAGGATCCAATGATGAATAATTCGCTCCCTGGGATTTAGCTCGTTCGATCCGCGGACTTGAAATAATGACATCAATGTTATCAAGATTTTCGGCAGGATAACTAGGTCCCGATCCTTCAGCTTGACCATCTCCAATCCAATTTTGAACGTCCTTTGGATAACATTCTTCGTCATCCATCACAATTGGACTAATGCCTTCGATGAGCGAATCGGAGTGCGAAGTTTTGAGCACAGATGGCGATCGCATCGAAATAAAATTCAGATTCGATGGAGGAGTTGCTATCTTGATTCCTTCGATCGAAATATCGTGTACACTTTCAACGATTGAATCCCACGAAGCATTCGAGTGAGCAATCGGATTTATCCTTTCACTCGGTGATTCACCAGAAGATTCTTCGAATAAAGACACCGTGGATTTTCCGGAAGAAACACTCTGGTTGAACAAAGACGTAGTGATGGTATTCAACACTTGTGAGGAGTGTAGATCCATGAGTGTTTCTTGTGGGACATCGTCAACACGTTCCGAAGAGTCAGGCACACAAACGTTGATAATTTTATTGCCATCGAAAGATGTCTTGGTTTCAGACGCTTCCACGGAATCACTACCCAATCGACTAACGAGTTCAGCGGAATTCAGCGTGTGAACAGACGCAATTGATAAAATGGAATCCTCATGATTCTCCGGAGTTGAATCATTCGGAAGATTTTCGGACATCTTTTTTTGAACCATTGAATCATCTGTAAGATCTTCGGCCATCACATTTTGCACTTCTGGCGGCGAATTGCACTCCGAACGATTTTTCTGACTAGAATCAATCTGAAGACTCTCGGAAATCATATTTTGAACTTTCGGAGACGAATGGTGATTCTGCTTTTTCGGACTTGAATCAGCAGAGAGATTTGAAGACATCGCATCACGAACTTCCGCACTGCGATTCGACAGGAGAACATCCGGTTTTTCCAAAGGTTCAGCTACTCTTGGAACAAAATCCATTCCGTTTACCGAAGACTTTCCCGATACTTTCATCGAAGTATTTTCCGAGGAGAATCTCAATATTCTTTCACGATCACGAACTTTCGCGGAAGAAAGTAACAGCGACTGGCACCTCATAAGCTTCGAAGAATTTGAACACACTTCGAGATCAACCTTCTCGTCTGACTGACGACCTTCCTTTGAACATTCCGTATTTTCAATTTCCTTCGACATTTGAAAAATATTGATCCCAGGCTTCTGCAGTTTCGAGTCCGCAACATTATCAACGAGTCCTCGATTCGATGTAGAAAAAGTTTTGAACTGGGCACACCGTTCTGAAGTCACCAATGACGGAAGACTTTTCGATTTCCTGACGCAATTCGTTTCCCGGGTATGTACCGAAGAAGATCCTTGACCGAGATCATTTCCATTCTTTGAACACAAGATATGCTTCTTTACATCAGCATTTAAATATTCCATTTGATTCTTGCTTTCACCATCTTGACTCACATCTGAACCACAACTTAATACAACTGCGGATTCGCAACTTGGAACATCGTTTCCTAGATCGACAATCGAGCCAAGCTCGTCGGCAGCTGAATTCTCACGCGCAAGAAAATGCATAAAAGCTGACTTTTCCAATTCACCCTTTCGGCCATCTTGGCACGGCACATTTTCTACACTGTTCGACTTACGCGATTGAAGTTGAAGCTTCATAGCGTTGAAGTCGAATCCTCGCGGCAAAACCAGATCACTACATTTCGTCTCATCACATCCCATGACTTCGTTTTCACATGATTTCCAATTATTTTCAGTCTCCATACTCAAGCAGTCGGGTTCGAAAGGCCCGGTCGATGGATTTGACTGTATGTTTGCCTCGGGAGAATCCGAACGCCTCGAATTCTGGAACTCGATCGCGTTCGCAAGTGGATCAAACGAAACTGCAGTTTCGCGTACCACAGAGATAACACAGGTATCTTCTTCGGGTGACTGAGAAAATATACTACGACTTTCTGCGATATCCCCCATCACATTAGGAACCTAAAAGGTAGAACATAAACAGTGAAGGGGATCATCAATCAACAACAGAAAAGGGAACAAACACGAACATAAAATGTGACATCAAAACCGGGGCTTTTTTCATGCGTCACATGCGAATGTTGGTTAAAGACAAGACTTTCGGGCCAGAAATTTTTGATCTATAACTTTTATTCATTCGCTGAAATTTGTACAATTGAAAAATGGCTCTACAGAAAAATCCTGCAGTTCGGTCAACGTAACCCAAGGATGTTCAAGGAATGATCGGCATGTGATCGTCATCCACATTCGGCGGATTCTCGAAGCATTATTCCCTGTCGGCAGTTCCCCAAAATCGGGCTGAATGCAGATGGATACGAGGTATCGAAAATTTGAGAACATTTTCGCGGGGATATTTTGTACAAACTTTTTTTCCCAATCATAAAGGAACGAATTGTAACGATTTTTTTTAGAACAGTTGACGACCACACGAAGCCGTTGATACTGATGAAAGCAAGGAAAACAGTTTTTTTTTCACTCACGCAAGCCTAAATTCAAACCTTGAACATACCTCGGGGGAAACAAGGATCACAATAACCGCATTTCGGAAAGCTTCATTCCGCCATGAGATATATCATCAAATACGGGATTCCAAAATGCGACCTGATCGAGGAGTAGCATTGCGCGTCAAGTCCGAAGCCAGTTCACGGTTTTCATCAAAGCATACGCTGCGAAGAGAATGCCGAGCAGAATATCCCGCTGATTGCGCTGATACGCTTCATCTTCCAATCTTCGTACCCGGTGATTGAGTCTATTGAGGTAACGGATGATTTGCATGTCGCCACCAGGCATCGAGGGTGGAGCCATGGTTGGCAGAACATCACTTCTGCAAATTAAAACAATTCGACTTCAGACAAAAACTAAACTTAGGATCCGTTCCAGCGAGTCTTCACTTCAAGCTCCAATATTATGGTCTTTCAGCCGTCGTTTTTCGGGGAAATCCAAAATTAATTCCCAAATAATTTGTCGCACAGTATCGAGTTCAAAATAATTTGTTGAACAGTATTAAGTTCCAGATAATTTGTTGTACATTAATTAGTAAGTCCCAAATAATTTGTTGCATTAATTTATGAATAATTTGTTGCATTAATATCTAAATGATTTGTTGAAATACAGTAATTTCAAAATAAGCCGTTGCACTAATTTCCTTTTGAATTGTCGTATCAATTTCCAAATAATTTCTTGCATTAATTTTAATGATTATTTTTTCATTGCCAAAGAATTTTTTGCGAAAAATGCCATCGAATAAAAAATTGCAAAAATGACGACACCCAAACTAAACTAACCTAACAAAACATAAACTACTCATCAAAATTAACCTAACCAAAGCTTAACTAACTTAACCTGAAGAAAAATTTAAAAAATCTAACTCAAACTAACCAAAAAATACAACCTAACCATCATTTAACCATTTAAAATTGTTGAAAGTTTGTAAATCAACAAAAATTTTAAACTCAAGCAAAGCATTACACTTTTGCTTTCTATATTTTAAGATGCTTGAACCGAAGATAAATGTCCCCAAAAAGCGAAGAATGGGAGAGGAGAGAGCAGGTGGGGATCGAGCGGCTTTTTGGGAAAAATTCTCCTTTTTTCCCACACCAAAAAAATAATTCCGATCCAATTCCCATTGGTTTTCTCACACAAACTTAACGAATTTGAGACTTTCTTTTTTGAAGAGAAACGTGAAAAGTTTGAAAACTGACCTGCTTTCTAAATCCACACTAACTGATCCGAAGCCTTCCCCTCCGTTCATGATAATGTGCGATGTCCCGGTCTGGTGATCAATTACAGCTTCAATACTTTTGGCAGGAGAAACGCTTTCTTCCGGCGGGTCATCGGCTGTAGGAAACTTACACTCTTCCAGTGTGATCACCCTCGGCGGGGTCTGAACATTCAAAAGATGAACTTTTGGTTACAAAATGTATCTGGGGTAGTTTGGTGCCACACAACCCCATTGTCCCCACCTGCACTCGTACAGCTTCTCTCACGGGCGGCATAACAGATTGCTCCAGAACAAGTTCCCTTGGAGGAGCTTTTGCACCGACGTGTCGCTCTTGACCAGCAACAAGAATTCTATCGGGAACATTCATCATGTTCCTCAAAGTCGGGTCATCCGCAGATCCAAAACTAGCCCCTCGGTTCAAAGTTGAGTGAGACGTGGACGAGAATACATCATCTTCCGCACCTAGAAACACATGATAGAACGCAGTTGAACAAACCAAAACATGGAGTGAAACGTAAAAGGAAAAAAGTTCATGATTGCTAGATTAAATTGTGCAACCAGGGGATGTCTTTTTTTTTTTTTTTTCTCCTCTGAGGCACTTCGAGATTTTTCTTCACAATTTGAGAGCGTAAGAATAATTTTTGAATAATTAATTTAAAAAGAACTAATGAATAAAAAAGGCCAGGCGCAATTCCATAACCTGAATGCTTCCCACGTATTACAGAAAAAAATCTATCATGAATCTTACCTGCATACCTGACTACATGACGCCACGAATTCTAAAAGGTGTCCAAAATTGATTTATTCGAATGACAAATATATTAAGTACGTACGAGTTGTCTACATTCAATTCTCTGTGCACTTTAAATTTGTAGGATGGGATTTCCATTAATAATTAATCCTTACTACATTTATGGTAAATTTAAGACATTAATACGGAGGAGAAGAGAATTTCTCTTCGAGTGACGTTACAGTTTTTGATCTTCTACAATCTGGAATTTTCGAAAGAAACTGTGAAATGTAATTATTTCTCAATAAATAGATTCAACTCCGGAATTCGGAAATTCCAGCTGCATGAAAACAGGCCGTACTTCAGAAAAAATTCGCTGATCAAGGGAGTGACAACGAAAACTTTTTCATCCTCTATTCAATTTTACAAAATCAAACTTACCAGTCAAGGTGATGCGCTTTGGAACACGCATTTTCGAACCGATTTCAAACGCGAAATGTTCATGCATTTCATGGCGTCGATCAAAGAAATCAATATCCCGATCGGAGGCACTTCGCAAGGGGCTGGCAGAACTCGACATCACAATATTGACTAAAACATTCGAAGAAGACAGGATCACGCCAAAGAAACTTGCAATCGCTTAACAATAAAATGAAGGTATACCAAGAATAAGCATTAAAAAAATCGTATGAATTTTGCTCGACGTGCCTAGAACAATTTCAGATCATAAAAATTCGGAATGTCAACGATGATCACATTGCAAGCTGTCCCAATTTACGCCTAAGTTTCCCTTTCTTTCGCGGTTTTGAGCCCGCAATATCGCTCACAGAAAGATCACTCGGGGGATCCGGTAAATTTGGAAGCAAAAGCGTTCCTGAAGCACCCATTTCCACGGAAGACGAGGATTTCTTGAAGAGATTTGATATGGCCTTCAATGTACTTTTTTTCCGACGATCGGCGACCACAGGTGCAGATACAGCAGACGCAGGTTTTTCTAAAACAGTTTCACTGCAAATAACGACGTGACAAATGAAAAAAGAGTCACAAGGAACATAATTAACGATTTCACAAGTAATCCTCAGAATATTCCCCTAAATTTTTACCCACGTGAACAAAATCCATTAAAGAGGACATCCAAAAATTTGCTGCGTACTGAATTACAGCATTTGTTTTCCGTAGCATGAGTTTGCACAATTTCCATTACAAATACGGATTTTATTAACTGAGGTAGATTTTATGGACAACTGCGACAACAATGAAAATATGCAATCAAGCCCCTTCACGAGCTATCCAAAGTTCGATGCACTAAAACCATACGAACATGTTCACTTGGAGTTAAAAGCTTGAATTTCACTGGAGATTTCAATCACACACAAAAATCGCAATTTTCCACTGGATACAATTTTTTTCCTGTATGCATTTATAGCCCATGACAAAATTTCTCTTTTGCAAGAATTTCAATTCATTTTTTCGCAAACGATGTGATGATACTGTACTTCAGTTTAATCTTTCAAAATCATTGAAAATTTGAGGAAACCGGCTTGATTTTACCGATCGAATACCAATTTTCATTTCGCGTTGAATTTCACGGACGCCGGGATGAATCGTTGCAAAGCTGTACATCCGGTGCATAAAAATTTTCCCTTTCGAAGTCGAGCACAAATGGCGCTGAAGCTAACCTAGAAAATTTAGAATTCGTTTGCAGAGCAGCGGTCTTTTTTAAAACGGCTTTCTCCGAATCCCGGACAGAATCTCGAAGCTTTTCCCAGAAATTCCAGCGGCCATTCATCGCACGAGTATAGTCAAGGTGGTGAATTCCGGTGAGAAAACTAGGAATCGTGCTCGAGGGTATTTCCTTGTATCTACGAACAAGAAAAACGAGTCTTCAACACGACAAACTCGGGGCACATTTTCAATTTTTATGAAGACCTAATCGGTAACACGACTCTTGAGCGCTTCTCGATGCTCAACGCCTGTGCAAATTTCGTATAAAACTTGCACTCCACACTCTCGAAGAATTCCGATGACAAAATTATAAGAAGATGTCGGCAGCGTTCTTGGATAAGTCTCATAACAGCGTCGTGCTCGAAAGGAATGCCTCCAAGCAAGTCTCTGTCCTTCAAGCACAAGTTCATTCCGCAATCATTTTCCAGGTAATCCACAGTTGAATGAGCAAAATCTTGATCGGCATCCGCGAACAAAAGGAACGCATCGTACTTTGCGAGACCCTCCCCCTTCTCAATTCCGACGAGATCACTTCTGGTTATGCAACCATTATCAATACAAAAACCAATGTTATGTTCAAATTTGTTCACAGGTTCCTCAGAATCACATTGTTCTGCGTCCAGAAGTAAATTGGGCATCACGTCGTCGAGAACATCGTATCTGTCCAGCACTTCCAGTGCGTCAATCAGGTCTCCAAAAGTGCCACTGATTCGGATCCATTCATTCAAAACAGCCTCAACTGGATTATCCAGCACAGAATAGTCCTGTTTCCTGTCGACATTTGCGATCTCCGCCAGACCACGGTAATCCCTGAAGAATCAAAAGCAAAAAATCAAAGGTTTCTTCAATACGAAATATGAAACGCGTTAGCGTTGAACGAAATACCACGACCTGAACCCTGCTTTTTGTGACGAACCGCGTTGAAATAAATTCCTCATTTTTAGTACGCTTCGAACTGTGCGTGAAGTTATTGCAGAAGTGCATCAAACTCTGCGTTGAATTTCTTGAGAAATTCAGTAAACAAGGGGCTCGAAGAAAATATAAGTTTGTTTTAATTCGAAATAAATCAAAAATTTTCGAGACGTTTTCAGAAACCCCACGAAGCAAAAACTTTTAAATGCATCAACGCTATAGCACATAATTACACGATGTTATCTTTTTCTGCCTGTTCGTAAAATTGACTCACACTATGATGATTCGTCTCCATAAGGGACGAAACAGAAAATTGATGATATTGGTTACAAATTGAAAAAAAAAACTTTCCAGACAACCGACATTATCCTCCCAAATGTAACACGCACTTGTAAAAATCAATCAAGTAAATTGGGCAAATGCTACAAACACAGAAATCCTTTACTTTCAAGAACAAATGTTCGCGCTATATTTAATGAAAACGGCAATTCGTTCCAACAGCGTAAAGCAAAATCAAATGTTTTAGAAAGAAATACAACTAACCGATTGTATCCTTCATCCGAAGTTATCCATTTCCGTCCATTCAAACCGGCTGCAAGAATATCTTTCGAAGCAAACCGCAAGTGCTTCAAGGGGAAATTTTTCAAGGCACACATACTATCACTTCATGCCTGAAAATCTGTCCGAAGAGAAGATCCATCAAGATGTTTAAAACTGGGTACACTCAGCCACAGTACTGATCCAACAAATGTGTGCACGTCCACTCAATTGAAAAAAAAAAACCAACGCAGTAAAAGCACGAACAATACGAATAAACTTGAAATTTTCAATGCACGAACGAAGTGGTTCCGACAGAATTCCGCTTTTCTATCATCGTAAACATCCGGAGGAAGAGACGAAGCCACACCAAGTTCTCAATGTATCCTAAAAAAGAGGGGGGAAAATCGAGAGGATCAAATACAAATCCTCAAAAAAAGGAAGGCAAACTATGTTCGCACAAATGAATGCACATGATTCGTGAAAGAGCAAAATTTTAAAATGATCCTTCACGCAGCTGTCCAACCGGAAATTCAACTACCATCATATTCCCTCATTAAAATACATCGTGGTATCTCAAGAACATTTCGGAAGCATGAATATTATGCACTAAATTCACAAACCGGTGATTCACACGTCAATAGGCCCACGGGAATCACCGCGCATTCTTAAATACATCCAAAAGAGCACATCATATCATGCTTAATTTTAGGATTAAAAGAAAAAAGGATCACAAATACAGTAAAACTCACTTCAAATTGATTGACACCTTCTTCGTCAAGGATATCCAACGTAATCAAAGCGCTCCGACAGCTGAACCTAACCCTTGAAGTATCGACTGCAACTGCATTGCTGCTGCACTCGTGTTTTGCATTCCAGGGGCAGGACCCAGCAGCCCGGCACCTTAAATCATGCACACATTCTTTTTAGAAAATTCAAAATTATATACAATCTGGGACCCAATACATACCATACGGAACAAAGCTCTGCGGAGCTGCGGCGGGCATAGTTTGGGACTCCTGCTGCTTAGGCTTCTTATCATCCTCCAGTTCTGCAAAGTTTGCTGCAACCAAGAAAACACGAACCTCAGCAATGACTATTGATTAATTTCCAGAAGGGATTGAACATTTTGAACTTTAAAGGAATGTGTGGGTTTTATCCAGGGAAATTTTTCCAGGAACGCATATCAAAAACATCTTCAGCTTCTTTTCAATTGAACGCGCTTTTTCCACCATCAACCATTTTGTAAGGTGTTCTGATTTTCCACTCAACTTCATTTCTCCAGCAAAAATTTTCGATAACTTTTTCCCCCAACCGGTAACTTAAATTCTTCACCATCTTGGTAAACAGCAAACGGTCGTCAATCGAGTACAGTAATTTTGACTTGAATAAAAAAATCGCTTAAAGAATTGTACTGCACTGCTCATTCATTAAAAAAAACAAGAAATTTTCCGCAAATGTAATTGCACCTATATACAACCCCGATCAAATTATCTAAAATACGTGCATTCCGCGGAGAATAACACGTTTTCCTAACGCTCAGACAAACCTCTGCATGTGAAATTCGACTACGACTAACCTGCTATGTCGAGTAGAGGTGCTCCATTCACACCAAGTCCTTTTCCAAAGGTTTTCAAGCCGTTCGGGAGATCCATGAATTGCGAAACCCAATGTTCTTGATCAAGTCTTACACGCAATTGTCTTCCGTGATAGATTTGCTTGTCAAACAAAGCTGAAGTGAAAAAAAAACTTGATAAATTCGCTTCAAAAATACGACGTTGAAAAACTCACATATTGCCTCCACAGCTTCGACAGGATGATCAAATTCCATCACGGCACGTCCAATAAATCTTCCATTTCTGTCGGCAAGCATAGCTAGCCAACGTATTTTCCCGGCTAGTTTGAAAGTTTCACGAAGCTTTTTGCGATCGACCCCGCTTGCGAGCTGTCGAAAAAGTGTTAAATTACAAAAATCTGCTTTTCTTTCAATATACACTATTAAAATGCTGTCATAATCGAAGTCCCCGATTCGAAAAGCATCCATTAAAAATGAACCCAGCTCAAAGAGCAATCAGAAAAAAAAAATCACCCGATGTTTCCTTTGGATCGCATGCTCGTTTTTTCTGAAAATTCCTCGGGCTTTTTCATTAAGAGTACAGCATAATTTCCGAAGCAAGCCCAAATAGATTTTTCCCCACCAGGACATATGACTTTCAATAGCTACAGCAGTTAAATAAATAAGAAACTAAACACAGGTTAAAAGAACGTACATGTGAGGTTACCAATGAAGAAGAGACAATAAAAGCAGAACAAATCGTAGTACGAAATGCGCTAGAAGTGAATATCCCAATTCGGTTTATAGTTCATTGAACATTCCTGCTGCTAAAAAAATGTTTCTCAATTCATTTTAAAAATTGCATACATAAGAAAACAAAACTAGAGTTCAAAATGAACATATTGTACACCCTAAACTTCGAAGAACATCAATTGGTGATTCGGGGAATGCATCTCGACGCATTCAGCATCATCGTTTTCCACCAGATAATTTTAACTCGGGCGCGTTTCTCCAGTTATCCGATAAACTTACGTTGGCGACGCACACACGATTGATCAGAGGAGGATCAATTTCTAACTTTCTCAAGACATCTTCACTGATTCCGTAAGTCTCATAGAAATCGGGACCACGAGGGAACGACGACTGCTGGTCACCTCGGCGATCATCCTGACGGTAATTAGTACGTTCATCCTGACGCGATCGATCACGAGCTTGACGCTGATCACTCCGATTTTCTGACCGCTGATTCGCATTTCTTCGATTTGCTACGGGTTCCTTACGCTTGGCAGCATTGCGCGGCGGGGAACGCCGACTAGATAAAACATCGGAGGAATAAAATTAAAGCTATACTTCAGTTCCATACTTCATCCACTCACGGTTCATTTTTGCGTTTTTCTTTCGCAGAGGCATCAGACGATTTTTTCACGACTATGCGTCGACCTTTCATCATGTATCTGTGCATCGTCCGGACGGCAAATTCGACGTCTTCGGGTTTCTCTAGGTCGACATTTGCAGTTCCCGTCGATTTTCCGTTAGCGTCCAGAACCAATTGACAATCCGACACATTTCCCACTAACAATAACGTTATTTTTTACACAGGATAAAGCAGGCAGAAAACGAAAGATACCTTCTTTTTGAAACGCTTCCCTCAGTTCTTGACATTCAACGGCAAAAGGAACGTTCGATACTTGGATTCTGCATCGAGGATTGCAGCGTTGCTGTTCTTTTGGTTTCGTCTGCGCACTAGACGAGAGGTTCTGAGACTGTGGGGGTTCAACAGATGATTCAGTTTTCTCCTCAGATGGCTCAACTTCGATCGGGGGATCATCTTCTATCAGCACTACCTCAGGATCCCGCACTTCGGAATTGCAAGCCGAGCCTGCTAACTCCCCGATGTCTTCTAATTCCTTCACTTCGGACATTTCCTCATCCATACTTGAGAAAACAAGATTGCAAGAGTTGCAACACAACCGTACCTAAGCTATCAAAGACATGTTTAATACAATGCTCATGACAAAATGCAGCATGAACTTAGACAATTAATGAAAATGAACCGATTCGTCGACTCACACGGACAAATTTCCCTTTCACGCAACAAGTCAACTTTCGCACGCGTTCGACACCAAGCCGCATGCAGGCATCCATTTGTGTTAATTAACCATGATGTAAGTTGTACCTCTGAGTACAGTTTGAAAATACTGTACTGTATTGCCTCACGCATGCAGTACAGTATTATACTCCGCAAGAGCAGATGTACAGCACTATTCTGTATAAAAATGTACTGTACCGCAAACGCGGATCCCCCAACTAAAAAAGTATCAACAGTCATATTCTTTCTTTCATGCAAGTGCATGAATAAAGAAAATTTCTATTGTACTGTATGTGTCTTTTGCTTTTGTTGCTTATGTACATAAACCCACAAAATTTGCGAATTCCATCCAAATAATTAGGGATAGAATAAAACCATTGATATCAACCTGAGAGAATATTTGCTGGTGCTGGGCCAGATTTTCTTCTACATTTGTTCACTATTCCTTTGTGAAATATAATTTTATGTTAATGAGTTGCAATATTTACAGTTTATTGTGTTCACAGATGCTGAGATATTTATACAGCAGTAAATTTTTATGCTGAATGGAATTGATTTTCTTATCGCGTCCATAGCTGAAAGATAGCCAACTTGTAAAACCACCAGTCCACTTTGGGCAACTGATGGGATCTCTCCTTCAAAATTTCCCTACTTAATTCTCTGATGTACCAAGTATGGTGATTGGTGATAAGTATTTTGCAGTGATAAATATCTGTAGCACTGCGATATCCTCGAAAGACTCTATTTTTTGGGCTTCAATACCAATAAGAAAAATATACGGAGTACAATGAGCAGGGACACATTTGCGTGTGCATGTTGGATTCCACGATTTCCAAGAATATTCAGAGAAATTGCGCAACAATTCGAAAAATATATTTTATTCTAACAAACGGTACAGAAAAAAATGCAGGAAATAATTTCTCACTGGACAGGAGGAAGCTTGAACATGTTGTTGGAAAAGAAAAGCTCCTGACTTCGCACTTTGGTAAGAAGATACTCCTTCAATTCGTCCAATGAACATTCTTCCGCGGACGCTTCTTGCATAGCGAACATTTTCAACATCGAATGTATCCGATTCAGCGGCAAAGTCTTCAAATTTTTCAGCATCCCGACGATGTAAGACCAAAACGCGTCCATCTTCGACTTGGTCGTTTCAGCTTCACATTCCCGCGCAACCTCGTCATCATTATCATAGTACGCGATCGTCGGTATGGAAGCGAAACATTCCTTATCTGCATGGATCCATTCATCTTCGGTTTCAAACTGAACAAAGTAATCCGGCTTTGTTTCTCGAATAACGCGGTGGGCTTGCCAGAATCGTATTTTTCGCTTCAAATACGACGGGGCAATTTTTAGTTCACTACTCAGATCATCGAGAGTCCACGCGTTTTTCTCCTGAAAAATAGTTCATACATCATTTGACGTGAAATACGAGAAAAAAAATTGTATTGAACCGAACGCTGACCTGGAAGTGCAATATTATGCTGGCCATGATAGGAGGCACCTTCAAACTCAAAACTCGATCTTGAAGCTCCACACGAATCTCCACCTCTCCCATATGCGGATCCCAAATCAATGTTCTATTTCCTTTCAGCGTTTCGAATGCGACTCGATAATGGTCGAACTCCTGCGTACAAGTTGAAGTAGAAATTATTGAAAGTTCAGGAAAGTATTTATTCACCGAGTTGTCAAGAAAAAAAAAATTCACAAAACATTATTTTCGAGCACGAAGTCAATACAAGGCCCGACTTTGATAGAAGACATATTCCTGAAAATATGAAACTCATATTGCTTTCACACATACAAATCACAGTACAAAACCCTGAACAAAAATCTTAAAAAGGAAAGACAAATGTATGAAGTTAACCGATGCCACACCTTCGCATCCTGAATAAAAAATTCACTCTACTGCAGTGTTCCCCAACCTTTTTGGTCCAGCGGACCAGCAGATTTCCATAAAATTGTTTTCACACCGGCAAAGTTTCATGAAATTTTCTGAGGACCAGCAAATTTTCCCAACATGTTTTCAAGCTCAAAAAAATTTTGCATGGGAGACAGCCTGAATGGCAGGTACTGTATTTGAAAAGCTTCTGCTTTTTTTGCTGTTGCAAAAATTAAGTCAAGTACCAATGAAGCAGCTATAGTGGGATATCTTCAAAAAAATGGAAAGGTGGGCTTGAATAAAGGTTTTACAGACTCAAAAGTTGAAATAATTTATTCTATCAGGTAAAATCGTGTCTCAAGTATTATTATAAGAGAAATGTCAAGATATATTTTTCATGAGATAATTTCAACTGCCATTGTCTCGCCACATTTTAAAATGAAGATACGTCCTTCATTGCTACTTTTGAAAAAATTCATCAACCTGAAAAAATTGGGGAACACTGCTCTACTGTATTCTCATTCACGACGTGGTGGACGAAAATATTTGCTAAAATTCAAAATTAGTTCCAAACCTAAACGTGTAGCACAGTACGCGTTTTTCAATTGAAATTTAAAATTAACCCAACGGAGGTTTTCAGCATTCGTATTTTCAATTTCAGTAGAACCGAACCGAAACGTTTCTGTCTACCCTGCATTTACACGGTAGGATAAAGAACCCACCAATGATAAAAAAAAATATATATACAAAAACTGAACACACCGTAATGCCTGTTATCTTTCGAGAAACAAAAAAATTGTTCTGAAATGCAGCAACCAGATGTTCCACTTAATTTTTCGACATTGAATGGTTCGGAAACGTTCTCAAAAACGATGAAGAAAGCTAACCGTCATCACGCAGGAAGGAAGCTCGAACGTCTCCCCACGGTAAATGTTAGGCCAGAACTGGACAGATCGCACCAAGGTCAGCATTTGGAACGCAGGTTGCGACGTCGCACTCTCCTGTTCAATCATGGAAGCTAACCGCAACGATTTGTTTACATCGGTTAGCATAACCTCACAGTTCTGGAAAAATGCTTCTCCGAATCTAGACGAACAAAAAAAGAGGACGAAATAATATGAGGCGGATCAGGAATCAAACAAATTCTCGATTTACCTCATTTTGAGGAATTCTTTGCAGCGAATCTCGCAATCCAGGTTCAAGTTGAAGCTGTCGATGATCCTCTCGGCAAGAATTTTTCTATACTCCTGAATGAACACGCGTCTGCTGCCGTATATGTTGACAAGCATTGAGATTATGTCTGCGTGTCGACTGGCCTTCGATTGGAATTCTGCAGGGGAAAATATACGATCACAATTCAAAAGCATAATTTCAGCGATGAACAGCTGAATTTTTTTTGTGAATTCAAGATATTTCATATCGAATAAATATTTCTTCATACTAGTTTTCTTCAAGAATACGTGAAGGAAGTATCCACGGAATCAGCCATTCCACATAGTTTCACATTAACCATTCAAGGACATTTTTAGGAGCTCGGAAATAATTCGTTACTCCATTTAGCTTCATATACTCAGTACTGTACCCGAATTTACTCGAATACCACGCGCAACTTTTCTTTTAAAATCAAAATTGAGAGGAAAAAATGGGTGGGCGTCATAGGCGGATAGAATTATTATTTTTTTCTAATTCAGGTTTGCATTGTACAGTATTTGAATCTAATGGGAAATTTTAGATATATTTCAACAGAAAACCTGATTTTAATGGATATAATTGAATTCAGGATAAATTCAACGAAAATGGGGTGCGCCCTTGGAAATTCATTGGAAATTCAATTTTATAAAAAAATTTTGAAGGAAAAACCCAGGTGCGCGTGCCTCTCTACTCGAGTTCTTTACCAGAGCAAAAAGGGTGAATACAGTATATTTCACGGAAAACAAGAACCCACTGGAAAGGTTCAAGTCCATCAACCCTGACACAAATTCACCCTCACTCACATTACGCAATCGTGTGTACGGGGAATTATCATCAAGAAATTCCTCAGTTGGACGAATGGAAAACCATAACTAACTGATTGACTGACTAACCTGGTTGCACATCCCAGGTATCCGGTTCCCAATCCTCCCAGTCCCCTTCCCTCATGGAGCTGTCGAACCTGGGTGCAGAGTTCTCGTCTTCCAGCTCTCCCACGGCGTAATCCGAATCCCCGCCATCCTCGTCCCAATCTTCCGCATGAACAGCAGGGTTCAATCCGGAAAGCGTCAATTCGTCCGCCAATCCCCCGCTCTTGGAATCCGTCAAGCTGACCACAATAGTTTTGACGGTGTCGTTGCGGGTCATTAAATAATTTTTCATGGGACTACACGCCTCGAGGGCTAAAACACCGGACGGGTCCAAGTAACGAAGCGCCTTCAGGGCAGAGACGTAAGCAGTTAGTATGTCGTGTGTCGCTACTCCTGGTTGCAGAAGCTTGTCCGAAAGAACTGTTTTCAGGGAATCGACGAATCTGCGTTTGTACGATGAACCCAGGTGCACGAATGCTGCTTTCAGATCGTCCAAAATGCCAGCGGATTCCGGAAATTCTACAAAGAAAAAAAATCACCGCATTTGCTAGGCAACCATGTTTCGCTTCCTGCACGCAGGCAAATTTAAATTAAACTATAAAAAATATTATTGTAATTCCAGGAAACCTGGAAAAGTTTTCCCCTCCCCAAAATCACACTACCTGATGCTGCAATATCTTTGACTTCAACTTATAAGCCAATCAAAAGCCTCTAAACATTGGACAGTAATCGTTCATAGTACTGGACTCCAGATAAGGAATAAAAATTAATAAGAACTACAATTTCTCTCTCTTTTAATTATATCAGTATAAATTTGCACATCGTTGTGTAAAGAGTGTTCAAAGTTTGCTGATACGCTGTTATTTTTCTGTGCGTCAATATTACCTTTGTTGGGACTAACAAGATAATACTTCAACTCTGATAAGATATCCTCAAGGGATTCCCTGCCTTCTCCCAGGCTGATTGACTTGTTTTAATTCATTTGCTGGTTTACTACTTGAAAGATCAATTTATTCACAATTTATGTTGAGGAAACCTTGCATCCCCAACAACATCACTGCGAAAATAAATTCACAAGTTCGTTAGCTTCATGATTTTTGCATGAATGAAGATGAACTCAATTCTTAAACATCAATATTTGATTTTTTTCCTGACGACTGTTCCAATCTTCAATTTCATATTGAGAAGCAAAAACACACTTGAGATGTTAAAGCGATTTACTCTATTACACAGAGAAAATGAAGTTCACCCTACATAATAAAATTTTCGTCAATTTCAAGTCCAAACTCAAAGCACAACCAAGTTTTTTTAATATTGTACTGTAATTGAAATATTCCCTTAGTACATGACACTTTCCGAGATTTCATTCCTTCTTAGAAAACAGTGCTGATTATAAATACAAATTTTAGAACTGCAGATTCTAAATCTGACGGTTACCCCAGAATATTGATTGCCAAAAAAATACGAGATGAATCTCACCAACAATGATGTTGAAAATATTGCTGGTAACCACCACAAAAATTGAATGATACGCATATTCAATCAACTGTGCCTTCATGAACATCTTGATCCTGGTATTGGCTTGATGAGCACGTTCTTGAGCACAAGGCATCAGAAGATCTCGAATTTTCGTTGAAGTCAAAACATCCAAGGATGGCCAATAAACCGCATTCAACCAGTTCCCAACGATTGTTTCCAATGACTACCGACAAGATATTAATCGATCAATGGCGGCGTAAAAAAGATTCAAGTATTTTGAGAGTCGCGGCTTCAAAAGACGACACCGCATCATGAGAATTATTTGAAAGAAAGTTACAAACCTCCATCAGGGCTCCAGAGTGCTGCTGATTCTGCGCTTCTGCTATCAATTCTTTCACCTTCGCTCGGATTTTTGCTTTCAAATGAGAAGACACGAAGTCTCCACCGAGACACTCGATCAGTTCCAAGTCTACCAAAAGGGCAGTGACTGCAAACGAAATCGGCGAAGGAATTAGGTTCAACGATCCAGCAAAGGGTTCCACCGTGAATATATACGGATACTGTATTCGATTACTCACCAACGCGGAAATCTTCAAGAATACACGCTTTACACGAGCAATCTTGATCTGAATCCATCACAGTACATGGAGCGTAAAAACTCGGATCCACTCCGGTGCAGTTGCAATCATCTAAAAAAATAAGGGATTTCAATAAAAATATGATCACATCACTCAGAAAAAAAAAACGGATGAATTACCTGCAAAATGAGAACAACACGCGGCAAATCCATACACAAATACTTCAGCCATGCAATCCCGGAATTTGTCTTGCAGCTTCGCGTGCAACGCTCCTTGAAACTCAATAATTATCTTCGAGAAACCTTCGCTGCCAAAAAAAAAAAAAAAATCAATCAGCACGTCATTCAATCATCTGCGGAACAGAAACTGAAAAAAAAAAGAATTCTTGCTCACTGTACAAAACATTTCCCGACTCCTGGATTTCCCCGAAAATTCTCAAAACCGGTTGCGTTTGCCCGGCTTCCTCTTCGTTGATCAGCATCCAAGATTTGATATACGCGTGAACATCAGCCAATGCCCGTAGCATCGCTTTAACGCAGTTGAAACGGAGTTTCTGTTTTTTGGCTTCGCTGAAATCCTCGAAGACTCTCAGGATTAAGGGACAAACTTTTTCCATAAGGACAGTGCAGAATCTGGCTCTGGCGATTTCTTCCCTGATTGCATGCGGTTCTTGAGTGCGAACAAGAGGCATGTCTGTGTCTTGAATTGGCACTTTAGCATTGGATGTAGATGGCAGCACCGGACGTTGGTACAAATAACGCTTCCATTTGTCAACTGCATCGTCCGCATCAATGTGGTTCGCAACAACCTTGAATTTCAACGGTTATAAACTAGAATTTTAAAAACATTTATACAGTACAACAATAGCAGTAGAATAATTTTCCTTTTCCCGAAAATGATAAATAAAATACAATGAACTTTCACAAGAAAACAATCCCACTAATGCGAGGGGTTGATCAAATATTTTCGCTCCACTTCCTTCAGAATCATAAATGAGGTTGATAAAACTAGTGCTAAGCCGCCGTTAATTCGCAAAATACCAACTTGGGACACTCCTAGCTTACAATTTAAAGTTCTAAGAGCCATTTTTTCAAACAGCATTAGCAAAGCAAAAATGGGTCAGATTAACAAATCTTTCAACGGAACATGTTCGTCAGATTTAAGATATTATCCGGATTGTTCAATCGAGTTAAGACGGAAATTTGAAAAGTTTTAATACAAGTAACTTCGACAGTGAACCTCATTTCCTCACAGTGGTTGCGGTCATTTTCAAGTTTTCGCTGTTTTCTCTCGATTTCAATCGACGATAATGATAGAAGCCCTCCAGGATTGACCAATTATTATTCGAAAAAAGAAAAAAAATCCGTTCATCCAAAATGCCTTCAAGAAACCAGAAGCACGACATCATCAAAAATGTGTAAACCAACTTTCATACTTTATCCGGAAAATAGACCTATAGACGTGTATGTCCTCACGCAGCAGAACTATCATAAAAATACGGTGTGCTGTACAATGATTATTTTGAAGACATGTTCAATAAACAGAATCGAGAATCCATGATTTGATATGCATAAAAGGCACCTCAGGTTTCGTGAAGTTTCCGAGCCTAGGAACAAATACTCCATGACGTCGAAGCTGTTCATGTGTTTCTCTAGAGCCTCCGATTCCCAAAGATAACTTGGACAACTTTTCCAACGTTTGTCTCGAGCTGGCTTCCGTGGTGCCCATGCCTGGCGCTGAAATTTAGAAACAAAAAAGAAGACAAACTTATACGATACAGAAAAAAAAAACGATTTCTTGACATACTTCGATAGGTGGATGCAAGTGATTCACGTCGACTTGCGACCGATTTGCACGACGCAAACAACGCAGTTCCATGTTTGAGATTTTCGCTGCCCCGCAGTCCCGGAGTAAGGTAAGGAGGTCTGCAGAATTTCAACAAGAAACCAGAGGAATAAACGTCAGAGAATCTGAACAAAAATTAAGATCATAAAATGCAGGCGAAGGAATGCATCATAATGAACGGAATTCCTAAAAAAAACTCACACAGTAGATACCACACATTCCGCAGAAAATTTCAGAACATGCTCGAGAATTTCCATACAAACCCGACAAAAAGATTGACGTGAACTTACATTGAACCTCGTTTTGATCCGATCCCAGATTTCACGAAGGGAGTTGAATTCGATACAGGTTTTCCCGGAGAGGGCAGGGACGCGGATGACGAGGATGAAGTTCGAAAATGAGACCGGACTCCCTTCTCAACTTCATCATCACTGATTTGCATATCCTCGGATTCATCGAGTTCATCATCTGAGGTTTCCCGTTTCAAATCCGCAAGACTGAAAAGCCGTGGCTGAGTCATCATGCAGCGTCTATAAAAATGCAACACAAAATAAATCACAATTGTCCAGCTAATGGAGGAATCCGAGGTCTTACCATAAACTCGTTGATAGAAAAAGTGAGGAGATGATAATTCACTAATGCTTTCAAAACATCATCTAGAGGGCAAAGTTAACGTCGAGAATCAGATATCTACAACAGATCAGAGCAATTGACAATAAAAACCTCAAATACTGGCCAGAATAGCAAATTTCATTTCTGACATTCAGTCTACAAATGTTCGAAACTTCACAAAATTTTCACTCCGGTAACGTAAAAAGACAGGTTTTTCATGCGTGAAAATCAGATTCTCAAATACGAGATACGTTTTTGAAAAAAGAACGTGCTTCACAATGCAAAAAAAAATTTTGTGCAACTTTCAAAAAATTCAGCAGATACGCCAAAATACGTTTTCCGACTTTTCACAACAATCCTTCGTTTTTCAATTTTCATCGTCAATTTTTTCAAGAACGTGACGTCTTGCGAAGTTCTCAAGGACATCTACCCGCACTCCAGGCTCATGAATCTCAGGGATCGCGGCCAGCAATTGATCCAGATTGTCCTGATGTTCTTCGCTGTTCAAGTGTGCACACACGGCATTACGGTTCGGCAGCGAAGTGGGAATATCATATTTCCGATCAATACAGATATTGCAGTAATGTTCCACGTCATGAACACCTGGATCCCTGTTAAAGGCCCGCACCTGCAGATTAAAATTAATTAGACAATGACTAAATAAAATTTACATGCCAAAAAATATATTCAGTACCGTATTATATAGGTCTTGGTTATCAATATTCACGCAAAAAATATACATATATATGGCAATATAAATTATTTCTACCACTGAGCAACGACTGCGTCACACTTTCCCATCATAGATGCATCCCTTATTTGGAACAGCGCGACCAAAATATGGTCAGATCTGGAACACAGAGACTCTTCATCCATCCCGCGATCAATTTCCTTATTTCCGAACATCCATTACGCTTCAGTTCCTGCCATCTATGTGGATAAAACGTGGTCTTGGGCCTTTTTTGAAGCCATTCATTCATTCGAAACCTAGAAATTACGATATCAATCAGCAAAACAAAAACGAAAACGTTAAAAGCAGAATAATGCAAGAGTAGATGACATGCATACTTGTATATGATAATATAAAACTTGCGAAATTCAAAAAGAAAATTCACTGTACTGTAATCATATTTCAATCACCTTGGCGTGTCCATGAATTCCTTCAAAATGGCCATCAGCTTCTTCTGAGAAGAACGACGTACGACATAAGCGTGTTCCATCCCACGAGTTAAGCAAAGTAGCTTGTTGAACTCCGCTCGGATTGCGTTTGCCTGTTCAAAACTCGTTAGGCAGTTTAAAGTTCACTAGTCGTGAGTTGCGGTCTGTGAGTGGTCCACCTATAGTAACTCTCTCTGAAGTTGCAGTCGGAGGTCGAGTTAAAGCACTAGTCCCTTGTTACGTTAACCAAATCCATCTTTGACTTCATAGCGTAGACCACACAGAACTCCTACAATCCGTTCTTGCTTCGCGTCAATCCTGCGAAAATTTCAAAAATATCTTGACATTTCATCCTTATTTCAATCAACAACCAAAATTCCGCGTCAAGGGCCTTAAAAGCAAGGAAGACTAGGGGATTTTCTGAGACGCAATGATAGTGATCTGAATCTCTGCTAACCTGAATTCGACGGCAGGGGCAAAAAGGATGGTCATCAGGAATTGTTTGCCCGGTTTCCAGTTAATTGCTACCGTGTTGCTAGCGATCAGCTTCTCGCCAGCACCATCAAGAGAAACGTGAGCAGCAACCAAAAAGTTTTCAGTACCACGACCACAATTGACGTCTAAAGCAATGCTGTTCACCGATTCCCGCTGAACTTTTGCTTGTCTCTGTCTGGAAATTTTCATTTGAGTTACCTTCCAACAAAAATTATGCAGAAATTGAAACTATTGAATGAACCAACCTGTGCTGAAAGGCCAATGCATGATACTCATGCCGTAAAACAGACCAAGGTCCCCTCAAATCAATAACTTCCGTGTGAGGAATCTCATGATCAATGGTCAGACCAGACATCTCACGAGACTCCTCTGCAGAGTCCTCACTTTCGACACCTTTGGCATAGCTTTTAAACGAGGCCGCGTCCTTTTTCGACAATTCACTTTCCTCAACACGCGAAGCAAGACATTCTCGATACAAAATGCTTTGAACAATAGTGGGTGAAACGTCGTTATCAGGTCTCACATACAAGAAAACTTTGGCCACCCCGTATTCCACCGAAAAAATCTGCAGAAGAAAATGGGCGTAAAAATAAGAAGTCAAGAGGAATGAATTTCCCACGTTCATTCTCAAGAAAGTTAATGCAAAATACCTCCAAAAAATATTATCTTTTTTTAAATGAAGATACGAAAAAAGGTTACCCTTCAATAAAAGAAATATCTTTGTACCGGTACTGTATATTGAAATCATGTTGCAGCTTTTCATATTAAAGTAACATAGAGCTCGGGTGGATTTCTTGTGATTTCGGTTTTGCGAATTTGGGACAGAAGTGATTTTATGCAGCTCAGATAGGGTGTGCTTTCACATTTTGCAGACGCCGTGTTTCAAAATTCATCACCCAACAATACGTTACAAAAGTAGTTAAAGTAGTTCTGAATTATATATTTCGACCTTTCTTTCAGGATTTATCTTATCATGGGTTCAATTTAACTGATGAAGCTGTTCAAAAAGTCGACTCACTTTGATCAACAAACGGGCGTTGTGTGGACTCGTGAGCTCTTCAAATTTTGAGATGGCATCTCGGGAGTATTTCTTTTCAGTGTTACTCGTCATGTATGGAGCTGTTTCTGCAAGAGCACATGGGAATGCTTGCCATTCTTGAAGTTCCGAAGGTAGACTATCCTGGATTTCCCTCGTGTACATTCTTGTGTCTTCATGACGAACCTTGACATCTATTCCGGTTTCAGTCAACCTTGACAAGAAATATGGATAGGAAGCGTAAAAATCAGGACGAAAAAAGAACTTGGTAAATCATATATGCCTTTGAACACCAGAAAATACGAAAAAGTACGAGGGTTTTCCCACTTGGGCGCGATCTTGGATTATTTCTAGAGTAGGTATGACCGTAGAAAAAAATTATGACATGTGAGGTTCGGGCATCCTTTTCGGAGTTTTCAAAATTTTTCAATTTCCTGCATGATAAGTGAAAACTTTCCAGTTACGGTCTGAGTTCTCCACCCATGTCACAGGGTGCTAAAAATTTGTCAGGCCAACTGAAAATTTCCTTGTTGTTACAACCATTATACAAAATGTAAAAATAATAACGGTTAAACAACAACATTTCATTTTTTCAGCTGGCCTAAAATTTTGTCAGCACCCAGTTACATGGATGGTGAACTCTGACCATATCAGCATGCAGTGAATTGAAAAAAATCCTGAAAATCCAAAAAAAATCCTAGAAACCTCAAAAGATCATAAAATTTTTTTACAGTCACACCGAGTCTACAAATAACCAAGGTCGTGTCCAAGTAGGACAACCCTCGTATGCAATAAAATGTTCGTCTGCAATCACCTGGCATAAATCCAACGACAACCACTGATGGTTGTATACGACAGAACTTCCGCCCGATAATACATATCCTTTTGCAGCGTCTTTGAAAAATGTGGCACCAATATGCCCATACCAGGACGCAATACGGCGTGAGGCACAGGGAACAGCTGATGGTTTTCGATGTTTCTTAGAATTTTGCCAATCTTATCAATGTATCGGCGTGCCCAAAAGTGTGAAGGATCTTCCGTCTTCCCAACAACAATATCAAACATTGGATTCATTTCTTTCAAAGCTGTATTCCTTCGAAGTCTGCTCAAGTCACGCTTCGGGATTGTGACTGGTTCAATGTCGTCCTGGCAATAGAAATCAAAATGTCTATTTAATGTATGAAAGCACGCGTTTTTGAAACTTTATCCTGACATGATACTATTCTCAACGGAGTTATAATATGGGGTGTTTGATATGCGCGGGCAGTTCTAATAGATTAATCACTGATCATTTAAAATTTAATTTTATCAGAATTATTTATTCAAACTTTGCAGATAAAATATTCAAGGATTTGAACACAGAGCTTCCTTGATTCAAATAATTGAAGCATTTCAATAGTTCCGATTTTGACACTCTCTTCTTGCACCGTGACAAATCCTTATCCAAACCTTCAAGGCCAATTATTTTCGTTTTCAGCTGGTCGCGGTAAGACATTGCTGATATTTGTAAAACATCAGCAACTCTGAAATTACACGTGTATGGAGTTATACATCTGTGAATACTGCGATCAATATTTTTTCGCCGTCCATGGCAACAAAATCAGCGGGTGGAAAAAATTTTGAAGAACAAGAAATCAAACAGCAATATTTAGGAAGACACATTTTGCTTTAAAAACAGCGTGACCACCTGAAAAGTCAGACTGAGCGCGGAAATTGGACATACATTGTAAGAATAACGTTCAAAATTTTTGCATCAGCAGATATAAATTCCCTTACTGAAGCAGTTTGACAAAAATGAATCCAGGTTTTCCAATCGTATTCAACAAAATGCAGCCCAGAGATGTTGGCTCACGTATCCCTAAAATGTGTACCATAGTACTTACCTCAAACTTCATCCTCTTCACTATTGGAGCACCATCATCGTTGTAGACTCGTATTTGGAATGGATTGAACTCAGGATTCCACATTTTTTGGGCCAAGAAAACACTGGTGTCAACGTCGCAGAATCGCCGCAACTGCTTTTTCTCGAAGGATTCCATGTAACTCAATGGCTCACTCAAGCACGTATCAAATGTCGCGTAGCATTTCGAGTCAATTTGCTTCACTTGCACATTGTTTGAAACTGCTTGAAGCAACTCGGTAACCTGTTCGTAAAATTAAAAAAAAATAAAGCATAAATATAATTAACACGTACCAAGAAAAACAAAAGTCAATCATGAACACACGGTACTGACTAAGTTGAAAATTTCCAATATTTTCCGATGAAAAATATGGACAAAAGAGAACATCTGACTTCAATCCAACATGAAAATTCAATGAAATTTGCTCGCTTTTATTTGAAATGGTTTCTATGGCCAATGAAAAGCCTGCAATATCCGTCATTTCACCTAAGAACTTTTAACGTTAAGACTTAGCCTCTTTTTTAATTAAAACGCGAAGTAAAAGTGCAGTAAATCATGCTAATAATTCCGGTAAAGCTCAGTTGTTTGTGTTTAATCGTTTTTCTAAATAAATGTACACTCGAAAAGGACTTTCCAACACACTAAGCATTACTTACCCAGGGATCAGACCCTTCAGATCAGACTTTTAATCAGTTTTGAGAGGGAAAAAATTCATTATTTCCGAAAAATTACGATTCATCAAAAAAATGTAAAATCGAAATGTAATTGTGGCTCACTCAACGGACCGATACCATTTTGAATTTTACAGAAGGCAGCAGATTTGAGCAACTCTTCTTTGGTCTTTTCTTGGTTCGCAAAAACCAGTGCTTTACGTAATTCCATTTTCACGAACTCCCCTTCTCGGGTAATTCATTGCACGGGTAGATCATTTCCAATTGATCATAGAAATATTTTTATGACACATAATTATGAAATGAACGCTATTCAAAAAAAAGTGGCGTGGATTTTGAGTGTAAATTCGGATGTATACTTTTGTGGCTTCAATAATATTTGTTAGAAAATCAGTCCCGACTATGGGTTCACCATAAGCATAATTTTAATTACAGTAGTGCACATCCAAAAATCAAACATAAAAAAATCAGAAAAATATATGAATTTCAACAATGCAACGGAATTAAGTTTAGGGGAATACAAAAATGTTACATTGAATACGGGTCTACAAACCTGATCAGCATACGAAACCCTGGAGTTTGTAGGCAGGCCGGAGAGTACAACTGTTTTCCTTGGATCAGAATCAGTCTTCAATGCTCGATTGATCTCACTCTCCGTTTTCAAAGTCTCAGATGAAAAGTAGTTCGGATAAAAAGCCCCAAAACAAGCAATCTTGAGCAATAAGTCCTTCTCCTCGTCTGACATATTGATTTCCGCCGTGGTTTCCGAAATGATGGGAAAACTTAGTTCCATTGCCGTTGACAAATCAGCATGCTTCGAAACAACTTCCCTCATGGTTTTGAAATCCAGATCAGATTCTTCGCAAAATACTTTGGGATCATCTGCCAGACAGAATTTCTGAGAGAAAAAATTAAATAAATAAGCTTGACGAATTGTTACAGAGGACAGAATGTCTCTTGAATCCCAAACAATTACGAACACCTCGTTATGCGTAAGATGTCCAAAAAACTTGTGAAAAAAAAATATCGAGAAACAACCAATTAATTCTTATATTTTGTACATCACCATGAAGAATTATTTGTATGCGAGTACAGTAGATGCAAGAAGAAGCGATGAAAATTTTCAGCTTAAATTTAAACAATCACCCCAAGTGTCATCTGTTGCTGGATTCCTTCAGAGCGCGAATGGAATCTACACTACGGTACGGAAGAATCTTATGAAATCTAGGAAGAATCCATCAGGGTGAATAACGACGATTTCATGATTGTGAAATGCTCTTCCCCAAAATGACTCTTTCAAAATTCCATCTCCATTTTCATGATCAAATTTTGTCGAAATGGAGCATGCGTTTCATCTTAGATTTAATTTAAAAAAAAAACTTAAGAGACTGATTTTAAGCACCCTTTCGTCGTCAATGCACAGTGAACGAGCTTCAAAAATCCCCCGCAAAATGTGAAAGCGAGAAGACAAAAGTGACACACCTCATACAATCTCAGCATGGCATGAAGGTCAGAAAAAGACCCATCCGCCCACCATAGCCTGGCGTAATACC